GCGCGTGGACCGTCTAGCTACTGTCCCTGGGGTTAATAAGTCAAACTCAAGCATATCACTTTAATTACAGTGTTAATTACGTGGACTATTTCATGACATTCTTCAGTTTTTTACCTGTGATACACAGTAAGCTTTAATGTATACAATATATCTAAAGGTATGTACTTAAGATAAAAAAAAAAAGACATTAGAGAATGGTAATACATTTGGCTATGGGCTAATACGGTAATGTTTGTGTATGTAATAAGACCACGTGAAATCGTACAATGTATGTTAGATAATTACATAAATTGTCAAAATACTTAACGTTCATTGCCTGTCATGGTCTTCAAAAAACAACACGTGAAACCCCAGAGGAGAGATCAGACGAAGCTCGCATAATTATGATCAAGTGTTATTTGGAGCTGAGCGATCTCTTTGGAATGTCGACCTACCCGGTAAAGCCCGAAGACACACAGCACAGGTTGTTTTATTTACTATAATAGATCGAAATTGTTGATTTGGTACACACTTAAATTAAATCGGCCAAACACTACAAATTCCTGACCTACAATTTCAATTTAACAGTACAGCGGAACGCGTATAGCTTGTTCATGTATATATGCCACTTCTGCAGGAGACACGGCTATAAAGTCGAATACTGGTCCACGGCACAATGTAAGGACATTTTATTAGCACCATGTTACAGCGCTAACAGAAATAAAGCAATGACACCAATGACATACTGTATATATTCTGTCTAAGTATATGTTATAGGTACTAACTGACACCGTAAGGCCATTTCAGTCTTTTCATTTTAAACACTACTGTCTGTTCTTTACAGTTCCCATGCCAACGCGAACATATTTGCCGTTTGTCACATATTTATGACCTTAAAAAAAGAAAGGCGATTGAATAAGAAATGTTTCGGCATAGAAATATCTTCTGCTTTATTTTTTTATGCATTAGTATATCTTTGTGGCATGCCAATTCTTTAGATCTATATATCAAACGAAAATAATATTAAACAGAAATTAAATGAATGCGTTGTGACGTCACGTTTACTTGTCCATTTGGCGTTTGACTCTCCATTTCCCATATAAGCGCTGAGTTGATCTTGAATCAATATGTGTGTTGAAACCATCCCTTCCGACCTTATTACAACCATTAGGCATTAAAAAAATTGAAATTGAAGCGGACTTAAAACCACAGGCACTCAAACAATAAATAAACAAACTAACTAACAATTTCTTCCGTTTTTTCGAACAATGACGGTTTGTAAACTATACAGGTTTTTATATATAAAGCATATGTCTACAAAGGTTTAACTTGAAAATATGTACGAGTTGGCAATCAAATCGCCGTCGATTCGTCTACGCTCTAAACGTACATGTATCATGTACACTTAATTACTATACATGCACGAAATGTCGATCAAATTGACAAATCTACTATGTACATTTTGTTTAAAACCGTGTCATAGCTGTGCGAGAGTCTTTGAGCCCACTCATCTCGATTCTGAACTGGTGCATTGTGGCGAATTAAGATGGCTTAATTTAAATGCCGCTTGAACAGGTTGCTTTCTCTATCCAAAGCTTTGGAGTTATCCAAGTCAACAACTTTCTTGAAATTCCAGGAATTCCGATCTTTGAAACCAGGACTTTTAAATCACCATCAACCAATCAGGTTCCGACAATACCGATCGCGTCATTGGCGATATGCACGCACAAAAAGACAGCGCGGTTACCTCATAACCCTTTAATTCAGTGACTGATACTGTAAACGAACGAGTAGTTCGGATACATTTTTCGCTCCCTCCAAGCCTTCGTCCATAATTCAATATTAATATATCATGTATACATTTATTCGGATGTAAACTATATCAGTCTTATTTTCTTGGATTTTAAACATCTATAATACAAATATTATATTTTATTATAGTTTACAGGAAATGTCCAAGACTGCTGAGAAGACTGTGGCAGTTAATTTGTAAAGTATGGAAGAAAGGGACCATACCCAAGTGCTGGAAGAAAGCAGAGCGAATCTTTGCTTCTAAAAGAGAAAGACTCCAAGACGGCCGACCAGTTTAGGACCATGTAGCTGCTGGGTGTCGAGGGAAAGATCTTCTTCTCGGTACCTGCCAATCAAATGACAGCCTACATGGTGGATAACAGTTACGTCGACACCTCAAGTCAGAAGGGAGGATTCCCCGGGTGTTAAGGATGCGTAGAGCACACAAGCATCATCAGTCAACTGATCAAAGAAAAAAGGTAACCTGACAGTGGTATGGTTAGATCTTGCAAACGCCTTCGGATCTGTACCACACAAACTGATTGAGGCAGCCCTGAACCATTATCATATCTCAGAGCACATCCGGAAAATGATAATGAGCTACTTTGGAGGGATACAGTTGCGGTTTACAGTTGGGGAGAACACTACGGCGTGGCAAGACATGGAAAAGGGAATAATTACAGTACAGGGTGTACCATTTCACCAATAATCTTCATCATGGGAATGAATATCATTCTCAAGGCAGCAGAGGGAGAAACTAGAGGACCTAGAATGGAGTCTGGCATCTATCAACCAGCCAATAGAGGCTTCATGTATGACCTAACAATCAATACCACCACAAATGTACAGGCCAGATGGGTCTTGTCCGCGCTGGAGAAGGTGGTTACATGGGCACGGATGCAGTTCAAACCTCGGAAATCACCTTGCATGATTATGAGGAATGGCAGACTCAGCCGGCAGTTTGTACTAAAAGTCCAAGAAGAGAAGATACCTTCAATCATTGGCAGCACCATCAAGTACCTAGGGAAACGATTTGATGACATACTCAGTGACAGCCAGAACCACAAGAACGTCCAAAGTTAAGTGCGCCAGTGGATGAGAAAGATCCACAAATCAGGACTTCCGGGGAAGTAAAATGTATGGATATACCAACATGACATGTTAGGCGCACATGGCTGCTGCTGTATGAAATACCAACCTCAATAGTAGAAGGGTTAGAGAAGTGGCTTGGGGCCCAAGCAAGTTTCACATCAGTTAGGCTGTACAGTTGTTCGTCAGAACTACAAATACCATTCAAATCGATTGTTGAAGAGTTCAAATAGCAAAATACAGGCTGATGATGACTCTGAGGGACTCCAAAGATGCGAAAATCAGCAAGGCAGGGATACAGACAAGAACAGGGAGAAAGTGGTCAGCAAGCACTGCAGTTGTATGCAGGTGAAGCAGAGAGTATAGTTGAAGGATACTATCGGGAACACCTGCGTCGGAAGACAAGGGATTGGCTTCTCTCATTTCCAGCAGTGGGAGAAAGCAATTACCCAAGAAAGACGGCAAATGGTGCAGACAGAAATCAGAAGGAATGAGGAGGAAAAGAGGAGAGTGGAATCTGTGGAACTCAGCAAACAGGGAGCCTCATTGGACCAGATGGAATCTCCAAGAGGAGAAGATGACGTGGGCGGAAGTATAGAGGATGGAGCCCTTCCGGACATCATTCCTGCTACGATCAGTGTATGACACCCTACCATCTCCTTTTAACCTGCATAAATGGGGATTGACTGAGGATCCTTGCTGCAAACTATGAGGAGGAAGAGGAACAATGGCTCATATCTTGTCTGGATGCAAAGAAGCACTAAGACAGGGTAGATACCGATGGAGGCACGACAACGTCTTGCGAGTCCTAGCAGATATCCTTGAAGTGGAGAGAAGGAAGAAAAAACAGGTGTAAGAACAAACCAGGCTGGTATCAGGTTTGTGAAACCATGGGAGAAAACCACAGTTAAGCCTCGAAGCAACTCGGGCGCAAACATGAGAGATGAAGGTTGACCTTGACAGGAAACTTGTGTTTCCAGGAATTGTGAAACAACGCTGAAGCCTGATATGGTAATATGGTTAGAGAAATCCAGACACCTCATCGCCATAGAGCTCACCGTTCCATGGGAGGAAGGCTGCGAGGAAATCCACGAGAGAAAGAACGCGAAGTATGATGAGCTAATGGAAAAGTGCAGGAGCAAAGGATGGACAGTAAGGCTCTTTCCAGTGGAGGTTGGCTGTAGAGGGTTCCCCGCACAGTCAGTGTGGAGGACACTGCAGTCGACATGACTCACTGGAAGGACAAGAGCTACCGCCATCAGACGATTGGAAGAAGCTGCAGAGAGAGCATCGTGCTGGCTATGGCACAAACGAGAAGAGCCGATGTGGAAGCCGACATAGACGAGTAGTGGTTTGGCCACCACTACTGACCCACCAGCCGGAGGTGGGTCAGTAGTGATGACACTCGATGACGTCAAATGAGGCTTCACGACAAGAATGACAACAGTGACGGACTACAAGTCAAGGATATCACACGATGCAGATTTACCATCATCTGAAAGCAATCATCATTTAAATATTGCTGTGCGATTAACTTTTATTGTTTATCTATGTTAGTTACAGTGTTACTAAGGAAATTTTTACCCGAAGTATTATATTTCCGAGTGGAATAAACTCCTTCCTGATATTGTGTCTAACCCGACAACAAACGCTTTTAAAACAAACCTCATCCATCACTTTGTAAACACAAATTTAATTCTATCTGTCGACAAACTTTTCTCTTTCCATCTTAACTCTCCTCTGACATAATTCTTCAAATTGTTGAAGTTGGTCATTACGCTGTAGATGTAGAAGTTTTTATATAAGCATATCTATGATGATGCTGCTGCTGCTGCTGATGATGATAATGATGATAACTGATTATTATGATAACATTTTATTGTTGTTTTGATAACGATAATGAGGATATTGATGATTGTTATGATGTTGAGTTTGAAAATTGAAAATTGTTGAAGAAGGTGAGTAGATGTAATTGTTTCTATATACTAGACCTACTATATGTTGCTGTGATAACAAGAAACTTTTTACATACATTTTTTAAGCTAACATTTGAACAATGATACCCGTTACATTATTTGGGAAACGAATATAGAAGAATAGAGGCTCACAATCCGGACGGAGCCGTAACCGGTAGTCGATTTTTCTTTTACTAATTTTCAATATGGCTGCCTTCAGCACGTTTTGAGAAAACGTTATTCCATTTATTCATACTTTCACCGATTTCACGTATTTATATGCGTAAATCCTTTACAAAGTATGGCGAAGGTAATACGATATGTCGGCCGTGAAAGCCACTTCACTGGAAAATCCCTTTTTGAGATTGCAGCCAATTTGAAGTCATGTAAAGGTCGTGTTGTGCACAGAAGTAGGATGAAGTTTGATCCTAATTATAAAGAGAAAACGTATGTCACCTTGGAAGACGTAAAGCCGGATCTTTCTAAACCGGTATGTTGTAAATTGAAGTCTTGTGTAAGAAAGTGTAATATATATATATATGAACCAATCGTATTGTTGTGTAGCGTTTTTGATGGCAGGAAAATTGAAATATTGCTACAAAATACAAAAAAAAAAAAAAATCTGAAAGATCTACGATTGCGTGACAACAGTTATGTCTATGATTCTAAATAATTTTGAAATGATTTGATAACATAACAGTTAAACTTGGTACAATGTGTTATTGACTATAAACAATTTGCATGTGCTCCTTTAAATTTGGCGATAATATGTAGACAGAATTTACTATTAAATGACTTTTACATATTGAGAAAATATTAAGTGCAACTGCTGGACTGTGGTTCGAATTCAGTAGTAGGGCCATTACCCTCTCATTTCTTCTCAATGGTTCTGTCCAGTTCTGCTACCGTGATGAATGTTAACACACAAATCGGGTTGGGGAAAACCACGAACTTGCATATAATACGCAAACTCACCTATTATATGCCAATAGGGTTATGGATTTGTTACTAAAAATAGCCAAAATCACTTTAATCTAACTTTTTCAAATTCTTTGTCCAAGTCGCATTTATTCAGTCATGAAACATAATACAATTGCAAAAAGAAACTTTATTTGCATGTGGGAAAGTACCAAAAATAGATGCAATACTTCCGGTAAAGTTACATCAAGTTTCTAATTAGCCAACACTTTCAGTTAAAACATCTTTTAGCAAAATATTATTTACCTTGTCGTAAATTAATGCGATTTTTAATAATATCTTGCAAAAGTTACTGTTAAAGCGATTTGGGTTATTTTAGTAATTATATAACAAATCCATACTACAACTGGCGTATAATAGGCGAGTTTACGTATTATATGCAAGTTGGTGGTTTTCCCCAACCTGCAAATTGTATATCAGTGGGGTTTTTTTACCTATATTTACAACAGCCTGTATTCAGCTGCAAAACTAAGCAAAAAAAAATCATTAAGTATGCATGGATTATATTCAGACAAATTAGGATTTTTATTGAAAAAAATTGCAACAGTTTTACAACTCAAAATGAAATAGACATGTATCTGTGGAAAGAGGGTCCTCCTTGGAATAACGATCCTGTAGAAAAAGCTTAAATCAGAAGTAGGTAATGATCACTAGAGCTTGTATGTATGTAGCAAACAAAGAAATCTGAGGACCAAAGTCATCCTTGAATTCCAAGGGTAACATGTACAATATGTAATGACAATATCGAAGGCTCGGAGCGTGCCTCATTGTGGATGATACAAGTAGACTTGTTTAATCCTTTGATGTAAATGCACCAAAGGAATCATGTGGCAATGAGATGGCAAAATTGACCGACTTTGAATTTGGATGTCCCTCTTCAAATTTTTGACCTGAAATCACTCAAATAGCTAACCATATGAGTTTCATTTTGTCTTGATATAATATATATATATTCAAAGTGTGCAGAGAACACAAGTTAGAGTAAATACTGTGATTTTAAGGATTGACCAAAGAAACTATACATGATTTGGTATGAATTGTTAAAAGGGAAGTAACTCAGTCTTAATCAAGTTAATGATGGAGGAAAATTATTTTTGTACTTTCTTTTATTTCAGAACTTCAAAGGAGGCACTGTCACAGGATACAGAGTGCATAGAGGAAATATATCTGACAAACTTGTCCAGATAAACAGTGGCATGAAACAGGATTGGCATCTTGTATCCAAGGAAGATGAAGAGGAATTCTGTAAAATTGATCGAGTACACAAGGTTAATTATAACCGCCCCAAAATATATCAACTTCCACCAACATTGGCAGCAAAATTGAAAACTATTGGAACCGAGAAATCCCAACTTACTGAAGTTCCGTTTAGGTTTAAGAATAAGAAAAAAACCCACTAAAACTGATTTAAAATGTTAGTATTTTCTGTGTGAATGAGATATGTTTTGAACAAAAACAAATTAGATAATATTGGTCGAGACTGAAATTTCTGAATTTTGTATACTGTAGTATGGAAAAATGTGAATATTAAAATGTAAAAGATATTGGAATTTGTCTCCATCTTATTTATTGTGATTCTTTACATTATTTTCATTGTTTTGCAGTGGGTTTTAATCATATGCAGTGTTTTTCAAGAATGACCTTTTAAATACTTGTTTTGTTTGGTTTGGTTTGTTTGTGTTTTACGGCCTTTTAATAGCTATGGTCATTTAAGGACGTAGCATATTTTGGTGGTGGAGGGAAAGCCGGAGTTCCCAGAGAAAAAACACCGACCTACGGCCAGTACCTGGCAACTGCCCCATATAGGCCTCGGACCCGCGACCCAATGGTGGAGGGCTAGTGGTAACAGAATGTCAGACACCTTTTAAACCACTTGGCCAGCGCAGCCCCTGTGGATACTCGTAACTTGGTTAACTATCACTCAGTTTGTATAGTGTCTGTTGCGTTTGATGGCTCCTGGGCCACTTGTATAAAACATCTCAACTCTTGAGATTTCCTCAAGTCTAAGATTTCCCATAGACAATACATTGCTTGAAATTTTCCTTAACTTTGAGATGTTTTATACAAGTGGGTCCTGGCTGCTATGTAAGTCATGTTTATTTAGGGTAAACAAAAATAATATGTATTTCCATACCGAAAGAGCAATCAACATGAATTAGAACACAACAAAGAAGATTACTGCCCCATTGGCCTTATATCTGCTTCAGTTACTTGGAAATCGGTTGTTGTGATTCTTGCCAGTTTTCCTAGATATGCTCTGAGCAAGGGAAATATGACCAGGGAAACTCAAGTGTTTGAGGGTGACTGTGTTTTATTTCCTTGTCATGTGATCAATATAATCCATCAGACATGCTGTTATGTAGATGAGGTAAAAAACAATATTTTTTAGGTCATAATATCAACTAAGTAAGTGAAATCACATCTTTCACATTGTTTTATACTTAACCAAGTTGTGAATAAGGACCCCATGCATAATGACAGTTCTTGTTAAATTACAGATTAAGCTAGCATTGTGTCATAGGTTTCTGCAGCTGATTACCTGAACGCATACATTTTTAATTTACCTGTTGGGCAATTTGTTTTGATAGTGGTTATGGTCTTTTTCTTAAGAGTTTTCACAAATTTTCACAAGTTTTTATTTCACTCAGCCACACTTTTGTGTGGTACAAGAGGTCACATTTATACAAATACAACATCTTATTCTGTATAACAGGATTTACAGCATAATAATCTACAAACTTTTTTAAGGAGAACAGTGTTGCAAATTTGAAATGTTCCTTTCATTTTCATGGTCATCGGATAATTATAGTAATACTTTGGTATATATTTTTGCCTCAGTTCCGTAATCTGACTGTTATAACAAATAAATAATGGAATTCGTCACCAACATCGATGTTACAGAGAGGTCATATTCTATTTCCCCTTGGGACACCTGTCCATCTTCCTGTTCCGATAGGGAGTTTCAAATTTGATGTTCTGAATTTAGACATTATTTCCCGATCTTTTTTCCCAAGCTGTTTCAGATATTCTTCTAAGCCAAAATCTTTCTTAAAAATAGAATAGGTATTCCGTCTGGACAATATTGTGACATCATAACTTAGATTTAAGGATTTTTTCAGTAGCGGCTTGCTTACAGTGTATGTTTTTTGAAATATCCATACATAGTTTATTCTCGAGTTACCTAGTAATTCTTTAATATTTTGCAACCATTTAAACTTAATGGCGTTATTTTTGTGTAACTTGTACATGATTTTGTAAATTTTGCCCGAGAGCTTATGACAAGTGACTAGATTATCCGAAAACATTATCATTTTACAATTGATTTCAATCTGGATAGGATATCTTCCTGTTTCTCCGTACACCATGTAGTTAGCAGTGCTTTTTCTAAGATTTAGCAGTCTCTTACAAAACTATAAATGATTTTTTTTCAATTGAAGTGTTATTTTCAAATCCCCAAACATCTGCACCATATATTGGAATTGGCAGCACTATGGAGTCCTTCGACTCCTAAAAAGTGTCTGATTTTCAACAAGTGAATTTACCTAGGTATAAAACTTACCTGTTGGAACTCAAGCACATATGCTTATATAGGTATTCATATATTTGTTTTACTTTTTTTTTTACTTTTTTTTTTTTACTTTCATATTTTTAATAATATTAACATGCTGATCCTTGTAGTAATTGATATAATATTAATTAAACTGATCTTTCAATAACAGATAACACCGTAATTAATATATATATCTTAGTCATTTACCGTGGAAACCAAATCTGTAAGTAAGTGATACAATCACATTTTTAAAGAATCAATGTGGTTTTAAAAAAAATAGTATTATTATTGTTAATTTGAAAGTGAAAATGTCAGTGTTTCTACATCTGGCAGTCCAGTCTTTATGCAAAAAAGCATGTAAAATGTATCATCCGAGCTACTCAAAATCCAACACTAGTGACAGACTTTAGGCCTTAAAGCAAAAGTTATATCAAATAAAAAAAACTATTAAAGTTAAATTTTAACATTGTAATACAGACAATGCAACAATTACTGAAATAAAAAGGATACAAATAAATTTGTATGTGTGTATTTTGACTGGGGGCTTCACTATTCAACTCTCATATAGGTCAATCTGTGCAGTTGCCGTTTCAGCCTTCACCATCTTGAATGAGATAAGAATCTCTTTATGGAATCAGTAGCTTTTCACTGTATTTTATTTAAGAAGTTTTCGTTCTCATAGTTTCCTCCTTTCATTTGAGATTTTTTCTTTAATTCATTTTTTTTTTTTTTTACATTTTTAGTTTTCTATTTAGTTTTTTTTTTGCATTTTATAAATTGCTTTTCAGGTTTTAAACTTTCAAAAAGAATCGTTCATTTGTGCTGAACAAGAGCTAAAACATTTAAGCCTTCGTCATATATGTGTTTTCTATCATGACATATTTTTAGGTCACCTGAGCTTTAGCTCAATTGACCAATTGTATCCGTCTTCGTCCGTCATCGTCCATCGTCCGTCGTCCGTTAACATTTTACATTTTCAACTTTCATTAATATTTCATGGGAAGGTTACTGACATCACCCTGACCAAGTGTTGTTATTTTTCGGGTCGATCAGAAATCCAATATGGCCGACACGGCCGCCATTTTGAAAAACTATTTCAAACTTGAAGTCAAGTTTTGCTGGGCCGATTGAACTGAAACTTTGTAGGAATGATCGACCCATGGTCCTGACAAAATTAAGTTAACGTTATACTTAACTATTTTTGTACTCAAATTGGTACATATTTCAACAATAAAAATAAATACTGTAGGACTCAGGTGACCGTTTAGGCCAATGTGCCTCTTGTTTTCTTAGGTTTTTAAATGAGTATATACAGAGTTAAATAACTTTTAATCCTTACTTTGAAAGCTAAATCAGACAATAAAGGACTGGTTAGGGACTATATATTTATCACAGATACAGGAATAGTTCACTGTTATTTCAAACATTTTCTTTATCCTTTTTTCAAAATATAAGGAGACACTTTTTAGTGTTACAATTTTTTGATTTGACCAAAAATATTGAAGCAAACATTATCTATGACAGCATTATTCTTGCTTTTATTTATGAGGCAGATGACAGTATTGTACCCCATGTAAATAACGTCTTTTATAATTCATAGTGCTCTATATTAGTAAGTTGAAGCCTAGTTTACCACCTATTAATATGTGAGCACCTTTATGCAACTAACAACTTCGTAATATCTTTTAAAATATATTTGAACACATCAGAGTATTTAGAAGTAGTATTTCCCAAATATTGATGATATTATTCTTTGGGACCTTATGCAAGTTAAATAAAAATCATTACTTTTTACCTGTAAAATCCTGTAAAAAAGGTAGATCTACAGGTAAAATATCTCTGGTAAATATAGTACATATATGATACCTATTTTTAAAGATGTTCAGGGAACACCCCGTTTCAGCCTGAAGAACAATGTTTACTTAATACTTAATTACTTCATAATTGTTCTGGGAATCGTGATACTAACAGGAATCATGTGTCAATCAAATTATCTTCATTAGTCTTCATAAGTATGAAGAGTGATATGTCGAGCTGGAAATGGTACAAGTACATTATATTAAGGAGGACATAAGATTGAGTAACATGATTTAAAGTGATCTTAAATACTGTTCTAGGAATCGGTATATTATCAGGAATGTGTTAATCAAACAATCTTAATAAGTCTTCATAAAATAATCATAATTACAGTGTTTTGGGAATCATGATATTAACAGGATTGTGTCATTAAATGTATTTTGTCAGAGGGTGATTAATTGTTAGCACTAAGCTTCAACAACAGTAGAGTTTAGTCAACATCTATAAAAATCATTTTGTATTGGGATCATCATTTGTCCAATAAATACTTTTTAAAAACTGATTATTGAAAAACAATTTTTATTACTTTAATTACTGTGACAAACAAAAACAAGAATTGTCTGACTAATTAGGTTATTTTAATCGGTGATAATTTCAAAATTAAACAATGGTAACATTTTAATAACGATCAAGTTTATCATATTTTTTTGCAACAACAAATGAGCATTTCTGAATTAGAGTTACCTCCCTTGTCATGGTTAACGTTATGCATTAACATTTATAATCCAACCCTGTTGTTTTTGTCTCTCCGTTTTGTTTTTATTTACATATATTCATATTTTTGAACCGCGATAGTTCTGTAAAAAACAACTATTTCATGATAGTGACGATGGCATTACTATCTTTCAACTTGAAGCAATATAGTTACCTTCCCAACTAATACTTTATGTACTAAAATCTAAACATAAGGTTAGGATTTTGTTGCCAAATACAGGCAAAATTAGATATAATTTGAGATTAAAATCAAAATGCTTAGTTGTCAAAGGATTTCTTACATCAAATATCATAAATAGAAAATACCAACATTACTAAGATGTAAGATCAATCTTACGGGCAGATTCGGATAATCACCGTCATTTATATACTAATTACTTGTATAGCTGCACCGTTTGAATGGTTGACCAATCTTTTTAAAATACGCCCTCAGCATTCATGATTCAAATTGAAACATAAAATAAAACTCAAAGCACATTTAAATGTATAAATTTCTTCTCTTCTAAATAAGGATTTCTTTTCCTCCTACAAGTAAGGATGAAAAGTCCACTCTCATAGGGTTGCTGTATACTGTTAATGGTAGTGACAACTTAAAGGGAGTGAGACATCGTTTGAAAACTGTCTGCAACACAAGATGCAATGCAGCACAAACATATATTTATAGTCTCAAATTAGTGCCGAGAGTAGGTCAATGAACACGACAAATATAAGCATTAAATGCGTAGGGCCACTCCAAGAAGAACTCAAGCGGTTAAGCTACGGGAGGACTCTTGGCAGATGAAATTGAGTCCGTAGAAATGTGTCGTGTATATCACCAAGATTAAGAAATCTGTCAAGCACATCAGTTGTCTCCATGGACACCTGTTGGAGGTTGTGAAACTGGCTAATATCTAGGGGTCAACATCGGTAGTCTCCTAACGTGGAGTCACCGTATCAATACATTGAATGTCAAAGCTTCAAGATCAGCCGGGTTCTCCACCCGTCTTCAAAACACATCAAGACCAACTGGACATTCAAGATTCTCATACGTACAACCAACCCCATAAGCCCTAAGAGCGGGACCCTAACCAAAGGAATATCGGTGATAGGATCGACGGAGTCAAGAGACGTGCGGAAAGGTTTGTAAGCACTGGCCTTTGTCAAGAGATTCAGGGAGAATGTCCGCAATACTACAGAAGTTGGGCTTGGAAACACATTGATGTGCATAGGTCATGATCTATAACATATAATCCTCTAAAAGGGTGGAAGTGGGTTAAGGCGAAAATCTGTGGCGATCAGACTCTATGACCAGAGAGGCTCATACAAACTATGGCAGATCCAAGAAAAAAAACAGACAACAAGAATTTTTACCGAGGACCATCGCGTAGTTGAATAGCTTGCCTACCAACATCAAGTAGGTAGAAAAACTCTCAATTCTCAGGTCCTCTATCACACACCTTAACTAACTGAATAAAAATCCATGGAGATTTTACTTTTAAGTGTTTGTCAGATTTTTTTTTGAAAAAAAATTGGTGGTTTTGACGTGCTAATGCCATTCGCTGGGTCAGCAAACCCCAAAATGAGTAAATCCCTGTCTAGAAAGATGCTGCTTCTGCTGACGTCGACGATGCCAACGACGACGAGGATGCTTATGATGATAAGAATGGCTGTATCAATTTACGTGTATCATCCAACATATACGCGCATTCCTTTTTAGGCACGAAGCAAGTTTATTACAATATTTATATATTTCATCGAGGCAGAAAACACGCTTAGTCATGGAAGTATTTTACTCATTACAGACAATAGTTTAAACATTATACATAATACACACAGTTAAAACCGGTACACATTTTGAGTAGTTTATAATTACTTCCCGTTAAATATAATAATTACAACTTTCGCTAAAATGAAATAAGTAATTGATAGTTTATTTTTGCGTACCAAGCGAAGCATGCAGATAAAAGTTCTTTGGTGCATCAACACACACGTGGAATGCGTACACAAAGGACTTGTATGATCTTACTCATTCTTGCAATGATTTTGTTCATATTTTGCAATCGCTTTATGACCGATCTACAACAACTACCACGGACAACATTTGTGTGAACATTACAAGATTCAATGCTGTATATTATCACAATATTATCACAACCCATCTTATTTTATGGGAAACAAACATGCAGGACGCCTGCTAACCTTTCTGTTTTATTAAAACCCCTCCATTACATGGACAGAAAGCGCAACGGAAATTATACCGTACGAACTGCGCGTCTTGCAAAATCAGAATTATTCAGCAAAGCTATGAGCTCTTGTTTTTCTTTTTTTCTCTCCAAGTCATATGGTTTTAAACATTCCTTTGACGACCGCTTTGTATCCTTTGCGAGTCGTAGTTTTTCATTCTGTCAGCTCGTCCGTCTTCCCACAGTTCGTGGTCATCCGGGCCCATCAGACATTTCATCACCTCCCGTATGAGGGCGTCACAGTCGCTGAACACACGTGACCCTAGCTGGTTTCCAGAGCTGTCCAACTCGAAACATTTGACATCGAAGTCCGTCACCTGTCTAAAAGTTAAATTTACAGGAGTGTAAGTAAATATTTAGATTGTATAAGAACTTATCAAAGTTTACCTGAGGGGTTCATGGTAATTGATTGACAGCGATTCAATACCGCTTTTAGATAACGTCACGTGAAATGCAGCTTTCGGTTCGATTATTTTTTAGCCGAGTTTTGTGTACAGAAAAATAACACGAAAAGTAGTTGTGAACAATAGCACGGGAACGTAATTGCTTGATATATTCTTTATGATTGGACAACGTTTAACGAATCTTAACTAAGGAAAAGGTAAACGTTAGCGTATGACCTGTTTGATCTAATAAAGTATGACACTGCTTAGACCCATATGCAACAAAGTTAACTATGATAATATCGCTATTAAACTCAATGAGAAACGTGACGCTTAAGGTTTCATGATTTTAGTTTCCTTTCCTCAGTGTCGAATTTTCAGCTTCCCTTGCTTGAAATGTGTACATGCCAAGTTGCTTAGCTATTCCAGAGTTTATACTGAGTAGCGGGATTTTCCGAATAAATGCATACTTTCGATCAATATACCACTTGGTCCACTTTTCTACCTAACATACTATGCAAGTACATATCTATATGGATAAGAAAATATTTGAATTAACTCCGTAAGCTGTACTCTTTACTATTATGAAAGTTTGTGAATTTTATATAATGACACCCTGTTACTCATCATTCTGTGATGTATAACCTTAGAGTTACTAACCTATTACAGATAGCTAGCCGCAGTGGTTCCTTGCCCATCTGTATAAGGCTGTTAGCCGGTGACACATAGAGACTTGAACCCAGGACCAGTACAAATGTAGCCGTTTCCGCCTGGTTTACCGCGCCACTGAGAACCTCCTCCTCTAACCTGTCCCCGAAGTTGATAACTGTACTCCGCATATATCCACTGCAGTCCTGAAACGATGCAGGTGTGAAGGAAAAACTCCTTTTTCAGAAATCATAACGTATCATAATTATTACAAAACATTTGCTCCATTTTCTCTCAATGGGCGAATGTCTTGAGGATTTGAAGATAGACTTTTAGTTCTTTGAAACTATATAAACGAAGAAGTATCTTCATTAACTACTGACTGGTTACCAGCCAAGGGTTGTCTTGAGTGTAATTATGATATAGTACTTATATATAAATTTATCTTTACGATACTATAACGAACATTGGTAATGACTAATTTTGTACATTAATGCGACAAGCACCTTACCTTTTCCGCACACCGCCGACCAGTGCGGTGATTGCATTTACACATCTCACAGACAGACGACGGGACAGAGGCGTCAGTCGCGCCTTTATGATATCCATGACGTAGTTCACACCTTGTGTCACATACTTCACATTTTTCGATGAAGCAGTTGCCATGGAGTTCTGACAACCGCTCTTTGGGAATGCCGGAGAGGCGATGTAGACCGTCTGTGTTCTGACTGATCACGTGCTTTACCTGACCCATGTCCAGTAGCTTGGTCAGTGCCTCGTGCGTGTAAGTTGGCCGAATGTCTTCAAGGCGAGGACCACGTCTTTTAGCAGTAGCGGCACTTGCTTGGCAACCTTGAGAGTAAGAAATGATATGAAATACTGAGTATACATCTTCACTAAATGTAGCATGCGCTACATTGTAATTGTCCTCATTGAACATAAGAAATGACTTTGGGCCTAAATTCAATGAAGCAATCTGCTCTAAGAAATCAAGATATAATGTCAAAATGATGGTGAAAGGATAACGTGCTTTTCTGTTCACGAGAATATTTTCCTCTAAATATTGAACCTGTATACGATTGTAGCTTCCTATGTAATCTTTTTACCAGCACCATTCATCCTTTGACGCCTTTTCATACATAAAATGCATTTATGTTGTATGTTAAACGTTCATTGAGTAAGAAAACAACAATGAGGTTTATATACACATACTCGTGGTAATTTACACAGGGTCGTTAGTGTCCTACCATTGTTTCTGTCTTGATTTGTCCACTTGCCATTGATTCCTCTGTAATCTTCTACACCTGTAGGTGTTGATATACCAGCTCCTGGAAAACGAAATTATTATATCTTCAATATCTTTAGTTACCACATCCTCGATATCCAGGGGTTACGCTCACTTTCGCTCTCTGCACCCCTGGACTATGTCATAGCAAAATTGAAGGCTCCGTGTTGATGAGACAAGAAGACTAGTTCGATCTTTTGATGAACATCAAAAGAATCTCGTGGTCACGTAACGGTACAAATTGACAGGCTTTGAAGTCGGGCGTCTCTCCTTTGTAATCTTCAAAGAACTGGTATCAGCATAGCGATTGGTCAGTTTTTTTTACCTGAGACCAATAAAACAGCCATCTTCGTGACTTCAATTTTGCTATGATATATTCCAGGGGTGTAGAGAGCGAAAGTGAGCGTTACCCCTGGATATCGAGGATGAAGCTATTATTATAGAAACGTATTATTTATCGTAATATGTTCCCGGTAGAAATATTTAGTTAATATTAAAACAAAATATATCCTTAATCAACCGATCGATCAATCCAAATATACAATTTGCTTTATAAAATTTAGCTTCAAAAGAAATAATGCTTCGTTGTGATACACATTGGAATATCGATATTCTTAACAGATATTTGTCGACCAAATTCGCCAAAAAATTGTTGATAAAGATGTCATAATGACGATATAAAAGCGGTGGGTGATTTTTATCAAAATTTTAATCATATTTAAGGTTGTGATGGAGTAAAACATACCTATTCATATTTTCACGAGAAAGCCGAATCACAACATTTTCGGGAAAAGATAAAAAAAACAACAACCCCCACTTCATTTGAGTTATTCTTGTAACATATGCATCATGTACTGTACATACCGGTAAACACTACGGAATATTTGCATTTCTTCAGCATGGAAGCTATCCTCTTGGCCTCCCTCTTCAACATGACGTCACTGTTATAGAACTCCACAGTCATTGACGCCTCGGCCACCAGGAGTTTCTCAAGTTCCGTAACGTGTATGTTACTGGTTACCTGGTTACCAACTGTCACGTGATTGTTGTTGTTTGTCACGTGGTTGCCGTTCGCCATGTTGTTGTTGTTTGTTTTTCTGGCTGCTGCTTCCCGAATTATTTTCCAACATTTCATGTGAAATTTCGCCTCTCCATTGCCGTCCCAAACGGCAAGCATTTCATCTAAAGCAAGATAAAGGTTAATGGTTTAGAAAATGTCTTATTTTTACAAAGTTCCAGTTGCATTTAGATTGAATATGATTGTCACACGAACAGTGGTTTTATGCATAGATTTGCCAATTTTTAAATATTTGAATCTCACATAAAATAGTGTCGCTTATCAAAAGTACAAATGATGAATAATTTCTACGATTTCAATAAATGATCATCCATCTTCCGTGAAGCGGAGAAGGGTCAATGATTTTCAGAATAATTACTATGACGTCATAATTATGATTACAATAACAATCGAATACTATAATTGCCTGGTGATTTTGCTATTGGTTAGATATTTACTTTTCAATTGCTCTTGACCTGTATTTAGTTACAAAATATTAGTGCTGACTAACTTTGACGTCATATTTACTCTGACGTCATTAATATAATTTGCTATAACTGCTCGATATGGCCTGAAACTGTTCTGTTTATCGATTAAATATGTTCTATGCACAACATCGTGACATTTTACGAAAGAAAATTCTTGTTAATAAGTACTATTACTTCACAAATGGATTGTTATCATTGCGATTCCATCTTGGAATGCAGTATCTTACAGACATACTTATAACGCGCTTCAGATATGCATATGTCTGTTCACACTGCACTTCACACCTGCATAGTTGTGGAAATATACTTTTCAATCCGGATATAGTGACAATGTCATGCAGTTTGTGAATATAGATAGGCAGTTCCACGAAAGGTGGTGTAAAGCTCTATATAGATAACCACACATACCTTCTCTGGCCTCCAAACCGCTCTCCTTGTTCTGGTAAGGCGCACGAACATGGACCTTGTTGTCACTTGGCTTCAGACCTTTGTTCTTACACGTCTTCAAACAACAATTACTGTTGTTCAGCAAAGAAGCGGACGCCATAGTCGTTTCCTATAAAGTCCAAAATGTAAACTCATCAAATCTTCACATATGACCTTGATGTTAGGTAAAATTATGAATAGTAGCACTGGGTTATTTACAAAGACGTGACATGGACACAGAAACATAAACTCGTAGGGCGGTTGCTGATTGATTCTACAGCTGGTGGCTTCTGTTTTGTTTCTACGGATTTTCAACACATTATACAACATCTCCACCCACATATCACGTTGATTATGAGAAAAGTACAAGTATTGTGTATCCCCCAAGAATTGTGCAGCTAATCTGTAACCTTAATTACACATAGGATTGAGAGGAGATCACCTCAACAATATCAACTCATTGTATGTAGCTTTTGAGCACCTGCTATGCAATGACGTCTTCGAACATTCTGTTGTCAGACGATGTGATACTAGGTCAATATATTATCCTTATCTATATAAACATTGTGTTACATTGTCTACATCATTTCCTAGGATACTACACACGTTGCACGAACAATAAAATCCGAGATGGTTAGCTAAAAATTTGTTTCAATACTATTAATGAAATGATATATGCATGTTAAACCCACAGAGACGTGTCTGTTCGTGTAAGTTTCTCCTTAAATATACCTTAGATGAACAAATGTAGATATACAAACCCTACAAAACATTATAGGTACAAATGTAGTTATACCGACCCTACAAAAAAAATGTACAAATGATAATGTATGGACTATAAAAAGTATTAGATGTAAAATGTAAATATACAGAGTTTGCAAAATATCGTATGGACAAAGATGTACCGACCATACAAAAAATAGAATATTTGATGTACAGATGTAGATATATTCACCATATACATAAGCCGAGCATGTTGTCCGATCCGTATGGTATTGCAAAGACAGTACATTTAAAATAGATACAAATACTGCAAATCAATGCATAGCCTTTTTATCTCATCTGGCTTACGTGCATAATACATAATGTAGATAACACAATCGTGGCCTGGAGAAGAAGGAAATACAAATGTGAATAACACAATGCTAGGACTACTTTAAGGATTTTAAAACAAACTTTCATCAAAACACCTCACAATTTATGGCCTAGATGTAAATAAGACAACAAAATGAAGCTATCCAACATTTACAACTTTTGGTATCACTGCCAATAGTTTGGTACTGATGAAGTTGACTTATGACACAATGAACAACAACGGTAGTCACTTATGTCAGATAAATAAGTAAATTGGTGGACAGACGGACATGTTGACAATTAAGCAAACACGCTGTCCCCACAGCTGTAGGTAGGGACATTATCTAGCTTTAACGTACTATTACTTACCGGGAAAACGTAACAAATATACACACATACACTTGGGTAACTGTTTATGCTACCTACCTGTTTGGCCTGCTCCTCGATATCATACTGATCGTACACACACAGTCATGTGGCTATGAACATTTCTAAAAATAGACATGAGGCAGTATTCACGCTATTTGCTGTCAACAGTCTATTTTCGATTCGTAAAACATTTAAACCCAGATATGTAATATATTTATAGTTAAAGCCGTAACGGCTGTTAAGATAAAACCGTCTACGATTTATCTGTTAGTTTTATATAGTAAAACAATTTTATAACAAACCAGATTGTAACTAGGAATTTAATAAATATTAGCATTACTCGTTACAGAGTTTAATTTGATTTCTTAGTTATAGAACATGCGCGACTTTTCTTATGAAGAAGATTTTGTAATACGCGTGTTTTATGTAGGTTTCTGTTTACTAGTCTTACATAGATTTTAGACAAACATACTTTGGAAGGAATATTTTTGTTTTATAAAGTATTCCATTTATTTTTACAAACACTTGTCGCCATTTTGAGTTATCGATCAACTCCCTTGCTTTTATATAAACGATTGATAGTTACAAGAGTAGCAAGGAAATGAATGTCGAATGTAGGACAGTAGATATACTTTATTTGAAAGTATACTGTTGGATTCATCTTAATTTTTTATATTAAAAATATATATTACAGATTATAACCCTCCACCCTGTATAATAAATCAAGAAAAATCAAGATCAAGGTAAGTTTCATAAGTGCGGTGGGGCCTCTGAGATTTGTGACCTCTTAGGACATCGTTCAATGTCAATGTGTTCTAGTTTTAATTCTATACATTATTCACATACAGGGACATCCTGCATCGACATAAACACGAGTTCGCATTCAGTGGCCATGTCACCACCTATATCGTCAGGTGTATACAGTTCATAGACTAAGTTCGCCAAAGAGACCACCATCATTTCCGCGCATATGATTATCAACCACGTGTACCAGAATGCAAGATTTACAATTGAAGGGGAATCAGAAGGTAACATTAAACGTAATTCCTTCATCATTTCATATTCCTTGATTCTAGTTATTTTTTCGTCTTATTTTCTTCTATGGACACTCTTTGGTTATTTCGACATATCCTTTTCCAGCAGTCTTAACAGAATAACAAAAATTAAAAAAATAAATATGTTGATTCCGTTGTCAGATGATGTGATACTAGGTCAAGGTATTAAACTTATCTATATAAGCATTGAGTAACACTGTCTATATCATTACCTAGGATACTACACAGGTTTCACGAATAACATACTCCGAGACGGCATTCGATAGATAGCTTAAAAAGTTGTTTCAATACCATAAAATGATATACGTATATTAAACCCACATATACGTGTCTGTTCGTGTTAGTTTCTCCTTAAATATAACATTTAAACTAATACAAAACAATACGAACCTTTCAAACATAAAATTCAGCTGACTCTTGGGTTATTTCGACATATTCTTTTTCAGAAGTCTTAGCAGAATAAAAAAATGAAAGAAAACAATTCAATATGTTCGTTCATGAGCATAAACACATCATAACTGATAACTGAAATGAGAGTAGCCTTTAATTAATGTTATGCATTATGCCATATTCAGAAATACGAGAAACTGGTAGCAGATATAAGAAGATAAATCTTTATTGACGAAAGCTGAATGCACAAGAAATAAGTATTCAGAGTACTTGGAATGATGATTTATTCAGATAAAAAGCGACAAGACGAATATTGCTTGTTATTGAAGAAAGCTAAAGGCATAAATAACTGTTTGTCAAGTGCATCGAATCATTATATATTCAAAAATAAGCGACATTGCGAAACATTTGATGCTAATTAGTTATTGACAACTTCTAAATATACAGAACAGCTTTTTAATGACACCTGGGCGCTATGTATATTTAGAAATAAAGTCGACAGTGGGTAGGTGAGAAAACAGCTATCCTTATATTTGTAATGTTGATACCGAACAAGACAATATTCAAGATTTACAGCTTGTATCATAAACCGGCAGAATCACTTACATAGGATGATAACCACTTCACATATGACACTGGCCGTTATGAGGACGTGTAACCCTAACAAAACTGAAAGATAAATGAGTGTAGAAATAGCGTTGTGGTGAAAACGTATGGTAGTTAAGTTCCATTTTCATGAATAGGAACACTGTTATTAAATACTATATTAATACATCCTGTTCTGTCAACAAAATTTTGATTGGACGATTTCTTCAAAGTTGAAAAGCAGACATACGAGGTGCCCCTCGTTTTGAATTCTGTTGTCGCTTTAAGAAGAAACATGAAAAACAGAAGAACACCCCCCCCCCCCCCCCCAACCAAAAAAAAAACCGGATTGATTTTACAGAATAGGAACGAAAATGTACTCTATGCAAGAACTATATGGGGCATGAGTTATACTATATATCTTACAGACGTGAGAACTGTTGTGTTCCGAGACAACTGCATACACTTATGATATGGGAGCAATTCCTCTCAAGTTAAAATGTAATGAAGATAGAATATGTCTCTTGCTGAAGAAAATCCTTTACTGTTAACGTACTATTTCATGTATTGATAATGTATTGTGCTTGCCATCCATTTTGTTATTATACTGCATTTCAATACCTCACATTATACGTTGAAGTGTTTAAAGGGAAACCAAACAAAACCTACAAAAAAATGAAAAACTAATGGGCTAGTGTAGTGAAAATAAACCGTAGCATACTTAAACCGCAGGATAGTGTGGTGAAAACAGATAGCTGTATATTAAAACCGTAGGGTAGCATAGCGAAAAACACACGGTAGCTTGCAATTGTAGGATAGTGTAGTGAAAAAATGGGATAGCTTAATGAAAAGATAGAAAAGCATAATGCAACTCCACTCGACCAGGATAGCGTAATGTTAACATTGAGAAGCGTAATGAAAGCATAATTTAGTGTTGTAAAATCATGAATCAGTGTAAAGATAGATTAAAGTTATGCAAACATTGGTTACTCATAAATCACATTAATACAAATATGGATTGATGCAAATTTCCTGAAAAAAAGAACGTTAAATATTTTATATAAACTTTATTTCTTTTACAATAAATATGAAACAAGTAAGTGCGGTATCCACAGTATCACTCGACCAACCCAAATAATATAATAGATAATAAATATTTTCCCATTAATGTTTAATTCTTCCATTAATGTTGAGTTCTTCAATGAAAAAGACATCCGCATCTGAAACAAGCTTATATGTGCGTTTTACGTCATTGTGAAAAATTACATACGTTCAACATGGTTGAAATTTTCATTTTGTTTGGAAGACGACACTACGATCTCACGGTCGTAGTGCAAAAAATGTGGTTACCTGTAGCGCTGTGCACACACACACACCTGTATATAATAGCTTTAAACACACGGCTCACCGCTAGACAAGGACAACTATGTAGGTCACATCGACCAATAGATAAGGAGGGTATAGCCTTGATCCATCAGTTTATTAGAGCTACTCTCTATCGCCTGTATTAGGCGCAAAGTGTACTTCTATTGTCAGTTCCGTGGGTGTTTTTTTTTTTTAGAAAAGAGGTATTGGCGTTAAACTTTCCTAAAGTAAGGAGTTAAGGAGACTTTCAGATTACATTATTACGTCACAAAGGGCACCAATAGATAGCTTTCGCAAATAACAGAATTTTAGATTTCAAAAATTACCTCCAAGGTCGTGTTCGCCATAATATTCTCTATATTGTATAAACTTCATTTGAGGAAAATTAAAACTACATTTTTGTCTTTGTCGCAGCGAAAAAAAGTATTACAGAATACAGAACGGCTGTTTTTGCACTGTAAGCGGTGTAAAAGACACAACATATATCGCCCTAAACTTGGAAGTTTCCTCTAGCTGAGTCAGTAACAAGAGACCAGATGGTAGTACAACCACTAGTCTGTGAATGAAGGAAAACTCGAATCTGTTCCTATATTTTCTTACCTACCTATACATTCGTGGTAACAAAAACCATTTACTCATTTAGTTTGTCCCATGGTTTAGTGAATTTGTGGTAAACAGAACGGGTCCCATGGTTTACATTTTTTGCGTGCGCACGGGAACCAAACACCCAGTACCATCGAGCCTCACGACAGATTCCTCTCCATAGATACCGTCGTCGACTGTCGTATAATTTCGAACTAAAGCTAATATTTCTACCTGTATTTATAGAAATAAGATATAAAATAAACATACCATTTGCTTTTCAGACTTAATTCAAACGCGTATCAGTTACAGCCGACGGCATCAGCTGACTACAGACTATAACGCTGTGATGGACAATACGGGTGGTTACCCTCATCTAGATTCTGTATGAGCTTGCCAATGTCGGTCAGATGTTTGTTAAGAAAATTGGGCCAAATATATATGACACCGCTCTTTTTCGGTAAAAATAGATTTATAAAAATGAAGACGGGCCTTCGGAGCGTGTAGACGTACACATGTACCACTGAATTGCATTAGAACACGTCCAGTGCATGTTATAAGTAAGTATTTACGTCAGCGTTGTACAGTATATTTCAGTGGGCCGTGTGTTGTGGAATGTCCCTATATGTGTTGTTCGCTAATGTAAGTGTTGTAGGTCCCTGTCAGTTTTATACGTTTTACGTCAGATTAAATGTTGCGCGTCAATAAGATGTTGTACGTGCATGTAAGGGGTGTACGTGCGTGTAAGTGTGTTCATGCTTGTACGTGTTTTACGTCCCCGTCAGTATCGTATATGTCACTGTAAGTGTTCTGCTTCCATGTAAGTGTTTTACGTCTTCGTTAGTGTTATAGTCCGTTTAAATACTGTACATAAGTGTAAGTGTTGTACATCCGTGTGTTTTAAGTTAATGTATATATTGTACGGCAGTGTGTTGTACGTCCGTACATTGTATGAGCGATGTGCATCCGATTAAATGCAATTCGTTTGTGTAAGTGGTGCAATTGGTGGGTTCATATCTGTGTAAGTGTGGAATCCGTGAAA